TGTGCTTCCTGATAATATTGCCTAAAGGGAGCATGTATAAAGTGAAGAGAATTGGACCTAACACAGAGCCCTGTGGAACGCCGTGACTAACTTCAGTTTGTGTGGAACATTCGTCATTAACATGAACAAATTGAAATCTTTCTGATAAATAAGATTTGACCCAACTTAGCGCAGTTCCTTTAATCCCAATAACATGTTCAAGTCTCTGTAGTAAGATGCTGAGATCAGTGGTGTCAAAAGCAGCACTGAGATCTAAGAGGACAAGTATGGAGACAAGTCCTTTATCTGAGGCTAAGAGAAGCTCATTGGTGACTTTCACCAGTGCAGTTTCTGAACTATGATGGTCTTTAAAACTTGACCGAAAATCCTCAAACAAAACATTCTTGTGCAAGTGGTCTCATAACAAAAAAGACCGAAACTAAGGTGAAAACAAAAACAGGAAGCAACGTCAAAATAAAAGCTGGACCGAATCATGACACATAGCCTGTTAATAGAGAGAGGTTAATCAGATCTAGTATGGATGTGTTGATTAGGGGAAAGATGTCTTTGAGCAGCCTGGTCGGGATGGGGTCCAGGAGACATGTTGATGATTTAGATGAAGCAATTGTTGAGGTCAACTCAGAGAGATCTATAGGGGAGAAGTAGTCCAAGTATAAATGAGGTCTTACAGATGTTTCTAAAGCCATTGTAGTAGATGGCACATCTGCGAGAGCTGTGGGAGTGGTTCGACCCATTTTTTCTCTAATAGTTGTGATTTTATTTGTAAAGAAGCTCATGAAGTCATTGCTGCTGAGATCTAAGGGAATGTTAAGCTCAACAGCACTGTGGCTCTTTGTCAGCCTGGCTACAGTGCTGAAAAGAAACCTGGGGTTGTTGTTATTTTCCTCAATCAGTGATGAAGAAAATGCGGTTCTGGCACTATGAAGGGCTTTCTTATATGTTTTAAACTATCTTTCCAGGCTATGAAAAACTCTTCTGACTTAGTGGAGCACCACCTCCTTTCCAGTTTTCGTGATGCCTGCTTTAGGGAGTGGAGCTGCGAGCTTTTTTCTTGGCTGTCTCCTGCTTTCTTCCCGACCATCCCTCTCACGCCTTTAGCCTGTCTCTCTTTGTCATACAGACATACACAAGACACACTCTCTGTGTCAGTGCCACACTCTTCCTTTTAATCTGACAAGACCACGAAGCCAGTTGTCTGTCTGTGTGTATGTCCATGAGTAGATCAGAGGCCTGTTTTCTGGGACGTGAGTGTGCACGTGTGTTAATTCTGTTCATCTCTTTGTCTCTGTGGACACTGCAGCAGGAGGGAATGGACTGGGCCTGCAGTTTAATTGAAATTCCTTTTGCACTCTCATTCATGTCAGAGAGAGAGGGTGTTAGTAGCACATAAATTAGTTTTTTTTTTATTAATGAGTTATTAATCTACTGCAGACACTTAATGTACTTTTATGCTCCAAAGAACAGATACCCATTCATCTGAAGAAGGCAACCGTCTTCATGTGATAGATGGAAGATCACACTGGAAATATTTGCTTTCATCATATTTGAAGCTTTTTTTGAGTGAAGATTTCAAAAGACATGTATAGAGTGCTGTGGGGCTACTTGGTGGCAGCGTTATTTTAAGCATATATAAGAGCAACATTTTGCACATTAAATGATAATTTAGATACAGTGTCGGATTATAACAGGAATTATATAACAAAGTTTTTACTACTGGTTTTAGCATGATATTAAACCAACAGAAGGGTACTGTGCTGCATAAATATGCACAGGTTTAGAGGTTTGTTGTCACAAAACACTCTTGCGTGTTTTGAAGCGAGGCTGACAGGATGCTTCACCTCAGGCACTGTGAAAACTGAGTCATGTCCAGAACCTAGAGATTTTACATTTGACTTGTATATTGATGTAACAAGCTGCATTGTCATGGGATCTGGGTGTATGTAAACTTTGGTCCTGATCTCAGGATGCAGTGTGAAGGTGGCTGTGCCGTAGGCCCATTACAGTGCGCCGATTGCTGGTGGCTAATGCGATCACAGCCGCAGCCAGGCAGGGCCAACTGAAAGTGGGGCCTTAATCTCCCCCAGTGTCTGACTGCCAAATTTGTCAGGCAGAGGATCATCACCCACTTCTCAGATGACTTTCAAAGAGCGCTTTTACTTTTTGATGTGCAGCTTGGGATATTTGATCCTGAAAATTCAACACTGCAGTTCAGTAATGTTGGCTACTAATGGGACAAGTGAGAGACTTTCAGACAAGTCACAAGCCAGGAGGGAGTGGCAAAGGAAGGTTAGAGCTCTGCCTGCTGACAAGACTGGACTTCACTGATATGGATACATTTGTGGTGATTAGCTTTTCCAACTCTTACTATATGTACTGACTGATTTCTCTTTTTTCTCCAGGGTTCACTGTACGAAACGTGGCAAGAGGAACTGTCGATGCAGGAAGTAGAATGCAGTCTTGAGTGCTGAAGAGCTGCCAAGTTACTCTTTCTGCCTCTTCACCTTTTGATCTAGACAATCAATCTTCTCATGAATCCAGGAAGTGGTATCCCAATCCAGAGGCAGGCATGTCTCCCTGCTAAGTACCTTTAGCCTTTGGCACTGGTGTCATGACCAGCCTGAAGCGCCCACTCATGGAGCGCACTGTTGGGGGTTCCATCCCAGCCACTGATGAGTTTTACACCCGCCACCTCCGTATAGTGAATGGAGGGGCTGTGCCAACGCGCACAGACAATTTCTATGCTACTGTGAGTACAGGAGTGCCTAAGATGGGTGTACGGGCTCGGGTGGCTGACTGGCCCCCAAGGAAAGATGTGCCAGGGCCTTGGTGGCACCCTGTTACAGAATCCGAGAACTCTGGTGTGCCCACCACTGGAAAAACACACATTAGGTTAGGTTCTGTTATGAGCCCTCAGGACTTATCAATGCTGCGTAACATCCACAATACTTTGAAGAATCGTACCCAGGCCCAGACTAACAGTTACAGCCCTGACACCCGGTACCTAGCCCCGGCAGACTCCAAAGGTCCTGCAAATAAAAGCTCACGGCAGAGGCGTGTCCCTCAGCGCAGCAACAGTGACATGACTATCAGTGAGTTGGAAGGCAGTGGGGACAGCGGAGAGGACTGGGGACCACAATCAGGAGCCAAATGGTCACCTCTCCATCGTGAATACGGTAGCACCTCATCAATAGATCAGCATGGAGTATCTGGAGAGAACTTCTTTGAAATGCTTAAGGGCTATCAAGGGGACAAAGTTGACCAGCGTAGTCCTGCTCCAGAAAAACTGGAGGACATGCTGAATGTTGGGCCCAAGCAGGCCATCATTGATCTAAAGGAGAACACAGACGGCCAGACTCCTAAAGCTAAGGACAGAGATAAGGCCTCAAAGAGACGCACTAAATCTGAGACAGGAGGTGAGTCTATATTCCGCAAGCTTCGCAATGTGCGGGGTGAGTCGGACTCCCCCAGAGTGGGGTCTGACATAGAGGACAGCCGGATAGAAGACATGGGCCCCCCTCTTAAACCCTGGCTGTGTCCAAAAGGATTTGCCCACTATGATGTTCAGAGCATGCTGTTTGACCTCAATGAAGTAATTCACTTGCGGCAGACTGCAGGTAAGAGGAAAAACACCACCACGGGGGCTTCTGCCGCTGCTGTAGCATCAGCTACCTCCACCCTCTCCTCCACCCACAGCCTGTCTTACAACTCCCCAGCTGGCAGCCAAGAAGAGCTCAGTTCGAGGGACAGCCCTGGTCTGGACACAGGAGATGAACAAAGCAACGAAATGCTGCTAAGCTGTCCCTGCTTCCGCAACGAGATAGGTACTGATAACAATGGGAGGCACAGACTGGGAGCAGGTGGGGCAGGATATCATGGGCATGTGGGTGGGGTAACAAGTAACAGTGGCTCAGGAAGTTTGAGTGGGGAAGAAAAGTTGTATGAAGCATCTGTGAGCACACACTGCACAAATGCTGGAGTAGCAGTGCTCGAGGGACCAAAGGAGGGCCCCAGCACGCTCAGTGAAAAGGGAAAACAATACATAGTGGAGCATGTGGACCTGGGAGCCTACTACTACAGGAAGTTCTTCTACCTTAGGGGTGAGATGCATTTATATGTTTTCATTACACACACTGATTAGCATATGAAGGAGATAGCAGTAATGTTGAATATCCCCAACAGATGTTTGGTAAATGTGCCTGTTTCTCTGCCACTTCCTTTATTTCAGAGCACTGGAACTACTTTGGGGTAGACGAGGCACTCGGTCCTGTGGCAGTGAGCTTGCGCAGAGAGAAACTAGAAGAGGACAAGGAACACGGCCAGCAGTATAATTATCGCCTCATTTTCAGAACCAGTGAGGTCAGTCATAGTATCCTATTGTTATACCCCAGTTCTTTTACTGGACAGATCTGAGTAGGGAAGGAGTCTGTCTTTCTTGATTTTAGTGCTGGTTTATTTACAAAAATATATATACTCTGAATACTTTCCGTACCCACTGTATATAAAAGGATTACAGAACACAACCCAGGGCTCTCTCCTTCAGACAAGCTGCTGTAGAAGAGAACAGAAAAAGAGATCCCGGAAACACAGAGCCTAATACATTTATAAGTTTTGGGCTAACCCCTTACACAGATGAAGTCCGTCCAGCAGACTCCATCTCCATGTACAGTCAGCAAGAAAACCCTCAGCTTGTTTTAATGTGACTTCTTTTTTGTTCTTTGTCAAGAAGGTACAGGCCTTGACTTCCTGTCTAGCTTTCACAGCAGCAAGAGAGGCTTGCTTCAGAAACCATCCTATAGCACTGTCACTGTCCCCAAAAATCTGTTTTCTTCTTTTTGCATCTACATTATCCTGCTTATCTTTAGGAACTATATTTAACCATTTAGACAAAAACTTGACCCCAAAGAGTCAGGCTTGCTCTTTTCCCAGTCTTGTACAATGTTTGCAGACATATTAAAAATTATGCACACGTGACTGGCGTTTCAAGTGAAATGATCTCTGTCCAGAACCAGCTGATTCGACACGGGAAGCTTCTACATCAGAACTTTTTCTGATGTGCCTGATCGCTGGGGGTTCGCCCAATCAACGGTTCTGTTTTAATTCCACTGAATACGCCGTCACCATAAAGGCTATAATACCGTTTTCCCATAGACTATGCCCAGCCCCGGAACCACAGACAGCTCTGCCCGAGGCACACTGTTACACACAGAATTTTCTCAGTAGCACTTGCTGCTATGAGATACTCATATGACAGTGTTCAACAGCCTTCGTGCAGCAAACCACCCAAACAATGATCAAGAAAAAAAAAAAAATTTTCCTGTGCCCTCATTAAGCATTTAACAGTTAGCTGTGATTGTCTTATAAATATTTAGACCTTCAGGAATGTGCTACACTCGGAGAAGGGCTCTGCCTCTGACTTCCGCCTCAGCAAGCCAGCCTTCTCATCGGAGCAAAAATCATAATAATTTTGAAGACAACCATCAAAATTTGTGGTTATCCACTTATTAATGTGAATTTTACGTCTCTGATGGTCATCAATTTCTAACTAGGGCACTGCTCTATCCCTCAAATGACTATGTGCTTCAGAACCTTCACTTGTGACAAAAACAACAGCACCAGCACATTTCAAAATAAAAGTGTTATCTTACCCGTACTGTAATCATTCAGTTTTGGATCGGGAATTCACAGTCCACACAGATCAACAAAATTTTGTAAGGTCCAGTATGCAGGAATTTTGTACAAAAGGCTCCTGCTCACCTGTTATTATTGTTGCCGGCAAATGTTGATCAGTGAGTTTGTTCACTCCCGACTGGAATCCAACTCAGAATTCAGCCAATTCCAAAGGTTACGGCACCAAGTTGTTATACCCCAGTTCTTTTACTGGACAGATTTGAGTAAGGAAGGAGTCCGTCTTTCTTGTTTTTTGTGCTGGTTTATTTATAAAAAAATTTATATACAGTATATACAGTGGGTCAGGAAAGTATTCAGACCCCCTTAAATGTTTCACTCTGTTATATTGCAGCCATATGCTAAAATCATTTAAGTTCATTTTTTTTCCTCATTAATGTACACACAGCACCCCATATTGACAGAAAAACACAGAATTTTTGACATTTTTGCAGATTTATTAAAAAAGAAAAACTGAAATATCACATGGTCATAAGTATTCAGACCCTTTGCTCAGTATTTAGTAGAAGCACCCTTTTGAGCTAATACAGCCATGAGTCTTTTTGGGAATGATGCAACAAGTTTTTCACACCTGCATTTGGGGATCCTCTGCCATTCCTCCTTGCAGATCCTCGCCAGTTCTGTCAGGTTGGATGGTAAACATTGGTTGACATTTTCAGGTCTCTCCAGAGATGCTCAATGGG